TTTATTGTGTGATCCACGTATAAGTACTCACTGTTAAATATTTATGGAATATAAATACAAAACTAAGAACATAATACTTCGTCTCGCCATTAATTTAATGTGACAGCATTGTCTGCTGTAAGGAAATAGGATCCATTAATGGTCTTGAGGATTGCAAAGGCTTTCTCTCTGGGTCTGTGATTTCCAACCTTTGCTGACAATTAAGGTTAATGCTCTCACAGGTAGAGATTTTGAAACATCCCAGCACTAGTATAACTAATAAAAATGCTTACATTATAAAATGGCCGCTAATAAAGGAGTAATTTTTTAGCTGCGTTACCTCCAAATATAGACTGCTTACATCAAGTAAGACAGTTCTCAAAAAATAAGAAATACAATCCCTAAAACATCAAGAATAGTCGAAACGTGTGAACCTGAATGTGTTAATGACCAATTTTCACTTTTGTAGGTTTTTTTTTTATAAAAGATGTATATGAAACTGGACTGTTGGCTTCATGTGTCAGTCTTGAATATGGATTATTAATTCCAGCTTTATTTTAAATATGATGCCTTGAGAAACATAAGGGGCATTTAATGTGAAGTGATGGTCAGCCACGGTGACTTGAGACTACATTAGGTTTAAAGGGAGTTAACTAAATAGGGCGTGTAATCTGAAGGGGCTTCTGGGACAAATGTGGTAACTATTTCTGCCCTCCAGTATTTGTAGACTACAGTGAATAAGATTTTGTTGTTATTGTGTTGTTGTTTTTTTTTCCCTTTAATGGGAGTGAAAAAGACTACTTTCCAATGTCTTCTGTAGTTTGTTCTCCCAATTATCATTTCATAGAGAACTTTGTATTCTTTTTCAGAAGAAAATATCCTTCCCTTTCTCATGTTGACCTAAGTGATTGATCATCAAAGGAACTTTTTAGGATACAAAAATAGCAAACCACATTTTTTTCTGTCTCAATGTTTTGCTATTAGTTTCATTTCAATAGAGATAACACTTGTAAAATCACAGAACTTTGATTTTATTGATAATCTTATGAAATGTGGGTGGGGGGTGTCTTTGTTGTTTGCTGATTGCCTTATGATTTAAATTTGCAATGGCAAAATTGAAAGGCAGTGTTTCTAATACTGATATTTTGTACCTTGTATTGATATGCAAGATAACACTGTATAGCATTATATAGTGCTATTATATAGCATCAATGTTATTTCATAGCCTAATTCAGCTCATTTTTTGTCATGTTCTTGGCTATGCCAGCTGTCCCACGAGCAGTGTACAACTTTGCCTGGTTTGTGACATTTCAAGTCTCTTGAGGCTAATACTGACCACTTCTTTCTATTGGTTCCTTTTTAAGATGGTTTTGATATTTTTTTTCGGTTTGCATGGATATTCAAAAAGTTAAGCTCACTGATGAGTGTGCCTGGGTGGTACCTGGATACAATGTGGTTTAATTCGAGCACGACAGATGACATTCCAGAGAGTGATGATAATTCTATGAGATGGAAAATATTGAACTTCATTTTTCATTACCTCTATCTCCATTTCCATAAACTTTTTTTGGACTGTCTGGACAATAACCACATCATCAGATTCCCTGAATGTGATTGTCATTATTTTTAACATCTTACTCAGCCTTTATATCTTCCAAACCCAGAGGGAACCTGAACCTTTTCCAAGGCTAGAGAATAAGGATAATAAACTCCCAGTAGTCAAATTCCCAACACTTAAACAATGGATTTTTTTATTTGAGGAAGACTGAAATTAATTGATAACACTTCTATTCTTAAACGTACTTACTGGAGAAAACTATAGTGCATGAGTCATTCAATGCAGGCTAAAGAAATTAACATATTTGAACATTATAAAGGTACACCAATTCCAGCTTGCTCAACAGCAACAGCAGTGCTGTTTGCAAGTAGTAACTTACCCATCTGACAGGGGGCATCTTCACGGGAGCTGTCCTGCTTTTCCAGGGGGATGGAGATGCTGCTTTAGTTCTGTTATGCTAGAACAACAGTTTATTTCTTCTTTTGCAGTCTGCTGTGCCTAAGTAGCATGGAATATGTGGTCACTGAGAGTAATACCACTCACCACAATGGAACCGATCTTTTACCAAAAAAAAAAAAACAAAACCATAAAACTGTCAGATTATAATACACAAGAACACAATGGTTTCATGTAGTTTAATGAGTGGTATTCCAAAAGTGGGCTTGGTGGAATGTTTTTTTCTCTAATGAGTCAGCAGAAGGGAAGGCATAATGCCCTTCCCTTTTAGTTCCTGTACGTTAATCTCTTCAGAGCAAGCTTGCCATAGCTCAGGTGTCAGATGCTGTTTATAACTATGCTGGAAACATAGCAGAACAAAATAGTATCATCAATTTCTCTTGAGACTTTACATGCACATTTTAAGTTACCTGTTTTATCGCTGCTGCTCTTAATTCAAGCACTCTATCAACAGTTTTGTAAGGTGGCTTGAAAAGTCTTTTCTGTCTATGAATTTGCCCAGTTTCTCTTTGAATCTGAGACAACATGCCAGCTGTGATTTGAGAACTGTTCATCACCTTGCCTTATTTATCTGTTATTTAAACTGAAGACTCCTGTTCTCAATGGCCATTCTTTACATGAAGTTATTCCCATTCTCCAGTACCTTCTCCAGTATATTTTAAGATAATTTTAAGACGGAAAGCAAGAACTGCACCCACTATTCAAGTCTGAATGGCTGTAGAAGCAGTGTGGATTTATACATTGGCATAATAATGCTTTATATTTTGTTCTTTCCTAATAACTCCATAAGTTTGGTTTGGCCATTACTGAGAATCTAAGATACGTTTTCATAAAACAGTCAATTCTGTATTTCTTTGAAGTGATCCAGATTATCAGGCTGTTAATCATGAAACTAACAGTGAGGAAAATGCCATTTTTTGCTAAAGTGCATGTTTTATAAGTAGAGTATTTTAAATGTGAGTATAGGCTTAGTTTTACTTTGCATTCCTGTACTATTTTATATTATGGTTTCTTGTGATATGTTGATTGCAGTTTGTCATTCACTTTTTTTTTCTCTTCAGTTAAAATTGTGCTTTTTGATCCTTTTTTCTACAAACTTAAGTTATTCTAGAGAACTATACAAGTATATAAAAACTGCTTTTTTATCAAAGAAACTGTTGGATGCCATTTCCCGAAGCTTTTATTATAAAACTAATATATGTGATGTGAACAACTATGGCAGTTTTCACAAAATTAGTGTGAAGTTCTCCCATGTTCCCTCATCAATGTGTTTCATAACACAGGTTAGAGAAAGCAGCTGTTTGGCCTTTGTGGCCATTCAATTCTTCTGCTGTGCCAATCAGCTCTGCCTGTGTCAATCTGGTTGTTTGCCATGTAGATTTTTATATCTCCAATGAAGCGTCTAAAACTGCCAGATCATTTCATGAAGGTAACTGTACACCATTAAATCAACAGTGATGTTTTCCCAGGTGTGGAGGTGAGCACAGCACTTATGCATTGCTTAAATTTCAGATACCATAATGTAAGTCCTTCATTCACATTTTCTTAACAACTTTAGATGACTGAAAAACCATTAATTTTATTCATTTCAGTAATTATTTGCCATATTTGGGAAAAAAAAGCGTGAAAATATGTAAAATTCTGGTTTGATTTTTTTAACTGAAAAAAGTTATATGATTTTTTTCTTTGTCTCCTTTCTGTAATTTTGTATTTAACTATTGTATTTTACATCAAATACATCATTGTTAGGTACTTTTAAAGACCAATGCACTAAGATCAGAATAGAAATAGACTGCAAAATGGTTGACATTACCTCCTACCTGTGAAGGGCTCAGACTGAGCCTAAGAGGCGGCATACAGGAGTATTCAGAAGGAAGTGAATGACTTCCTTCCATTGTAAGCTTTTCCTTGTTTGTAGAGATTATTCTTGTCTCTAATGCCCGCTGTGCTGCTGCCTTGGGAGTATGGTAGCAATTACACTGAAGCACTTGGAGAGCAGATGAAACTCCATCCAGTGCCTGCCTCGCTGCTTTTCCTAGCTTATCTTTAAAGGTGGGGGAGAAGCTTCTGTGCAACCCTTTGTACTGCTGCATTATGAGGATATAGGACAAGGGAGAACGGTGGGGGAATGGTTTTAAACTAAGATGGGAGATTTAGGTTGGATAGTAGGAGGAAGTTTTTACACAGAGGGTGGTGACACACTGGAACAGGTTGCCCAAGGAGGTTGTGGATGCTCCATCCCTGGAGGCATTCAAGGCCAGACTGGATGTGGCTCTGGGCAGCCTGGTCTGCTGGTTGGTGACCCTGCACATAGCAGGGGGGTTGGGTTGAAACTTGTTGATCATTGTGCTTCTTTATAACGCAGGCCATTCTATGATCACTTTAATCGGTTTGGTTTAGAAGAAATTTTTAATAGCTAAATCTCAAGTCAATTTGGTTTTGATTGTAGAAAGAAAAAAGATTATTTGTCATTTAATGTGCTTGTGTAACAATTCATTTCACTTCTGGAAGTTCTTAATGTATGTGTATATTTCATCTAATTTTCTTGTATCAAGTTTTATAAGAAATCCTCCCCCCTCTTTATGGCCATAAATGTGGCTCCTATCATCACTTTCCCCACTTATCAGTACATATGCAGAACAACAGTCTTGGCGTAGTTCAGCGTTCCATGAAACCTAATACGCTTTTGCCAACTAGAGGAAATATCTGTCTATTGTTCTGTAGTGGAGTAAACAGACTTGTAGGGAGTCACTTATTGCTGTAGGAAGTTATTACAGAATGGCCTCGTAGTGGGGACTACGGCAATATTTACTGAGTGCTCTGAAACTGGAAAGCTGCTCAGCTTCAAGCTCACTTAATAAAGCATTTATATATCCTGTTGCAGTGCACATCAAGCACTGCTGAAGAAAGGAAGTTATTTCAGCTCAAATGAATTTTTATTAATCGCAAAGCTGAATAAGTCGGATAAATGAAATCAGTTGGGATGTGTTTTTTATTTTTTTTCCAGGCAACAGCGCAGTCCTCTCCAGTGACAAAAGGTGTACAAGAGGATGTTGTCCAGTGGTAATAGAAATGTAACCGAACCAGAGGGTGGTGGAACATGGCTCCCATTTGAATGACTGTGATTCCAGCAGCTGCATACTGGTTTAAAAATAAAGCAACGATCTGATTCTCTTCTGTCCTGGTGCTCGAGTCACGCGCTCCTGCAGAGCTTTTTGTCGGAAGTTTGCTTTGCAGATAAGAACTACACGCAAATGCTCCTAATTATCCAACATAAGAGCTCTGGTGACCGCTTCATTTACGCTAAGTACTTTAGCTTTCTATTTTTGAGTAGTTTAGAGACGTAACTGCATTTACTCAGCAGAACAACTAACGGAGGCAGGAAAGAACAGCGCGCGGAGGCCTGGCCCGACCGCGCATGCGCCGATCCCCGGGGCGCGCCCGCTCGATGTCTCGGCCTGCGGCTGCCGCTGTCTGACCGCTCCAGGCCGAAGCGAGCGCTGCCGGAGCGCGGCCCCCTCGCTGCCCCTCAGCCCGCGTCGCCGCCGGCAGGAAGCATGGTGAGCGGCACGGCGGGACCGCAGCGCCGCGACCCCGCAGCGCCGGGCGGGAGGCGGGGAGGGGAGGAAGGAGGGTTAGATGGGACGAGGGGAAAAAAGGAAGGAGCGGGGCCGTGAGTAAGCACTTGGCGGGGCCGGGCCTGGCGGGGCCCGCGGCGGGAGCTCCAGCAGCCCCACCGGGCCCAGCAGGGTGGGGATGTGCAGGGGGAGGCCAGGGCCTGTGCTTTCCTTTAGTGCTTCCCTTTAGGGCGGCCGCGCTGACGGCTGTTGCTCCGTCTCTTCCAGTTCCGCAACCAGTACGATAACGACGTGACGGTGTGGAGCCCCCAGGTGAGTCCGCCCGCCCTTATCTCGCTGGCTGATGCTGCGCGTTTCTCCACCGGCACAGACATCTCTTATGTAGGACACAAGCTGGGAAATCACAGAATCGTTATCTCTGAGATCATCATGTCCAGTCATCAGCCCAGCACCACCAGCGTGCTCACTGGTCACATCCCTCGTGTTTCTCATAAACTTCTAGGGATGGTGACACCCCTCACCCCCCCCCCCCCCCCCCCCCCCCCCCCCGGCTGCCCGTGCGGATCTGGTGCCTTTGAGCTTTGGATCTGCAGTAAACATATCCTGTGGGTTATTTCCCTGCCTTAAGAATTGAAGAGCTTTTAAAATTCCTCAGTGGCTATAGAGAATAACTTATATTTGGTATTCATTTTCATTCTGGTCACACACATTTATAAGCTTCAGTGTTGGTTGTTTTTTTTTTTTTGTTTTGTTTTTGTTTGTTTTTTTGTGACTTCTAGTAGCTATCATGAAATCATCAGCAATGCTGAATTGTATTTATTTTTCATAAATTGTCTTGAAAGTCTGAATAGCACCAATGACTCACCAAAGACAGATTTGCTGCAATCTGTACTGCACGCATTCCTACAGGTGGTTGGGTCACAGTGGCACTGATAAGATTCTATAAAAGCTCTGGGGCATCTATGCAGGAGTGATGAATAGTTACTCTAGGAGAATGTTTTTAAATATTGTTTTAAATAAAATGAGATTGAAGGTTAAAGACTTGAAAGGACTTCGGGCCTTTACAACATCACAGCTTGTTCTTGGCAGTTAATAAATATGTGATTCCTTGCTGCTCTCAGGCAGGAAATAGCTGTGTGTAGGGCACAGTAGGCATCCAGCAGACTTTGTGTTCCTCTAGGTAAAGAAATCAAAAACCCTTGACATGTTAAGTGTGTAAATATATGTATCTTGGAATTGAAACCATCTTATATTAGTTTATATATCCTGTAGATTATCCCCAGAATGTTCCCATTGTAATAATTCTAGCAGTGTGTCATATTTTAAATTTATTGTAACTGGTAGGAGACAACTGTGCTACATTTAGTAATTCCAGCTTCTGCATGGTAGCTGTGAACGTACTGATCATTTGTAATAAGTCGGTCAGCTAAAGAGCAGAAAATCAGCTACTTTACCCTCAGCTGTAGCACTGAAAGGATGTTGCCTTATTTTCCTGCAACACTGCTGGCTTGCTTTTCAGAACTTGTATGGGCTTGCTTGTCTTTAAGACCTCTACTCCTCTTTCAGACTTTACTGCAGTTGACTAATAACGTGTTCAGAAGTTATTGGGGGATGGATGATGAGACAACAATTGCTTAAGATTCATTTTTTTAGGAAACTCGATTAAAAGTTACACATCCAACTTCAGCTGGAAGTTCCTCTGAGCAGTGATAGAAATAACTTCAGTGAGTTGCTGAAGTCATTGCCACTGTCATCTCTCCTGTGAGGAAAAGCTGAGGGAACTGGGATTGTTTAGCTTGGAGAGGAGAAGGCTCTGGGGAGACCAGATTGTGGCCTTCCAGTACTTGAAGGGAGCATATAAACAGGAGGAGGAATGGCTGTTTATGAGGGTGGGTAGTGATAGGACAAGGGGAAATGGTTTTCAATTAAGACAGGGGAGGTTTAGGTTAGATGATAGGAGGAAGTTTTTCACAAAGAGGGTGGTGGCACACTGGAACAGGTTGCCCAAGGAGGTTGTGGATGCTCCATCCCTGGAGGCATTCAAGGCCAGGCTGGATGTGGCTCTGGGCAGCCTGGTCTGGTGGTTGGTGACCCTGCACATAGCAGGAGGGTTGAAACTTGTTGATCATTGTGGTTCTTTTCAACCCAGGCCATTCTATGAGTCTATGGTTTGCAAATGATAATAGAGGAAGTCTGTTGTTGTTAGGCAGTCAGTGTGCCTGTCAGGATGGGGAAGTCGGTAAATGAAAAACTGTTGAAAAAATGGTGCAGGTGATTAATTTCAGAATGGTTATCTTTGATTTTATTCTGTAGGGGCGAATTCATCAAATAGAATATGCCATGGAAGCTGTGAAGCAAGGCTCAGCCACTGTGGGGCTGAAGTCAAAAACACATGCTGTTCTGGTTGCTCTAAAGGTAAGGTTAAAACTCTGTTCTGCAAACATCAATATTAGCGGAAAAGTTTTGGTTTGGCAAATTAGTTTAGCACAGTCTGAACTTTTATCTGTATATAAAATAAATGTAGTATCACTTTCCTTTTCCATTAGTGTCAGTAAAAAACTATAAATAGTTTCAGTAACCATGCTAGGCAGATTTTCACAAAATGGTGATGGAAATGAGTGAAAGATTTTCATTTTAAAAGGTAGGAGTTCTTCTATTTTATTTTATTTTTTGTTATAAAGTAAAACTGTTCACTTCCTTTTCCAAAACTTGGGCATCTGTTCATTTTTTTCCTGAAATGAAAAGGAACATTTTACAGTCTCCTACTGAAGCAGAATTATTTTTTTCTTGTCTTCTGTTGCAAGTTTACAGTTGTTCGTTTGTTGTCTTTTGTTGTTGTTTTGACTGTTTTGTGATCATATTCAGTTCTTGCAATAAATGTTAGCAGATTACTCCACAGTGCTTGGCAAAGTGGTCAGTCTGCCACATAGCTCTCTCCTTTTATATGTAGCGAGCACAGTCTGAGCTGGCAGCTCATCAGAAAAAAATCCTGTACGTTGACAACCATATCGGTATCTCAATTGCTGGACTTACAGCTGATGCAAGACTCTTGTGGTGAGTATCTTAGCTGCTGACATACACAGTTCTGCAATAAGTGAAAGTTCGCGTGTGGACTATTGCAAATGAAATTTTATGTTCATCTAAGGACTGGTCTTGGTCTCTTGTGCTTTGCCTAAGACCTCACTGTGAAATTCTGGAAGGATTTTAAGTTGTTGGCAGAAAACTCATTTGTTTGGCCCCAAAATTTGCTCTTTGGTTTTGTTACTTGTAAGACCAAATTGTCTGGTTTCCTCAGTGTGGTGGGGTTTCCAAGCAGTCTGAAAAAGTGCATTACTTATTTCCCTCTAGCAGCTACTTCTATTAGTAAAAACATATACTGCTGAACCTGTGGATTTGCCTTTCACCAGCTGACCACATAGCTTGATCAAATAAGGTAATATATACTAAAAGAGGACGATCCCCTGGTTACACAGGAAAACAAAGAAGACACAGAGACAGTATAGGAAGAATTTTTAAAATAAAATTTAATTGCCGTAAGGTTACAAAGATATGTTCCTGTTTAAATGTGGGTTTTTTCTTTTTCCCAGTGACCTATTTGTGGCCTAGTGCACTTCTCACTTCTCTTGGTTGCTATGGAAGAGATGCTCTGAGACTCTTTCAAGCCTGTGGTCAACCTCCTAAATAACAGTTAAAAGTCACAATGAAATGAAATTGTGTAATTGTTTTTCTCAACAAGCAGAGCTGAAACAAGAATACACTTAAACCTTAACAGACAAATATTGAAGAAAATTCAGTGTGACTTTCATCGATGCACTGATATGATTTTTCTTTCTTTTTCTTCTAGCAATTTTATGCGTCAGGAGTGTCTGGATTCTAGATTTGTGTTTGATAGACCTCTTCCAGTGTCTCGTTTGGTGTCACTAATCGGAAGCAGTATCCTTTCTAAAAAAAAATATATATATATAAAATAATTCAAAAGCAATGCTAAACTGAAAAAGTTAATTCAGAGGTGATTTTTCTTTATTCACGTTGTTTGCATGTTCGTTCTTTCAGAGAACATCCCAGAACTCTGAACTGATAGAAAAACAGTAAAGTGCTGTGTACCATTTCACTTACTGCTGGGGTTATTTTGTTATATAGCACTGTGGTTTTGGAGATGGGGGTGGAAATATGAGTGCACTGCACAAAATATGATCATTTGCTGGACTGCAGCTGCTTGCTTGCTTTTTTTTTTTTTTGTGGTAATTAATGTTCTCTGTGCTTGGAGCACAGAGGAGTCCTTGTATTCTGTTATCAGGTGCCTAGGTAAAGTTAAAAGGCTCAGAAATTAAATGAGGCTGCATTAACTGAACTGTTTGTATTACTTGGTTGAATGCATCACCAAGTTCTGAGAAAACCAGCTCCTAAATGTTGTTTTGGTGAAGAAGAGCCAGTGCTGGCATTCCAAATAAGTCCTGAGAACTATTTCTTCAAACACAGCCTTTGATACTACAAAAGGCTTTGCGAAGACTACACAACAATTTTGTAGCTTCAGTGCATTGCTCAGGAAAATGTTTTCAGTGTGATTGATTTAACACGTGCCTTTGAGATTGCTTCTTTAGCTTACTTTAGAAACGCAAATACCAACGCAGCGCTATGGCAGAAGACCATATGGTGTAGGACTGCTCATTGCAGGTTATGATGTAAGTAAACTGTGCTAGCTGCAATTGGTCCAGAAGAGAACATGCTTAAATGCAATTCTGTACAAGTATACATTAAAGAGGAGAAGGTAGAAGGAGGTGGCAGACTCACCAAAATTCACAGAATGACGCAATCATTTTCTCTATCATACTGAGACACAACTTATATAAATTAACAGCTAATCCACTCTATGCCTATGAGGTGTACTTATGCAAAAATGAAGAACTGATTATTTTTAGGTGCAAAATGAAATGAACAAATTATTTTCTTAACACTTTTTCCACATCCATTTTTTATTTAAAAAAAATTAATGGGCTCTACTTTACGTGTTCGGAAAAAACAGTTTGCCTAATGCAACACACAGAATGTCTGCCCTGAAGATTTTTAACACAAAGAAGGTAGAAAGAAATTAAAAACTTGCCTGAAATTATTGATGGCAAGGTTAGTTCTCCAGTAGGTTTTCTTGCTTGTCAAAAAGTCAGAAGCATGCATAAGCACAAGGCAGTTTGTGAAACACTGGAGGAAACATTTTGGTTCTTGTATTCCTTGTATGAAAAATGCAGTGCAAAAAAACATTTTTTTACAAACACTAATTTGTTTTTATTTTTTTAACAATAGCTTTGAAAGAATTGGGTAAGAATGGTGGTGTAGTAAGCAATAGGATACTTATGTGCATGCACAGAAACTATGTAATGTTTCATGAGCAAAACTATTTTAGAAAATATTGTGTGTTCCTACAGCAAGCTTGGTATGAGTTTATACATTTGTTTTATGTCTTCCTGTAGGATATGGGCCCTCACATCTTCCAGACTTGTCCCTCAGCAAACTATTTTGACTGTAAAGCAATGTCCATTGGTGCTCGTTCGCAATCAGCACGAACTTACTTGGAAAGACACATGACTGAATTTACTGATTGTGAGTAATGAACCTGGCTATCTAATGATCTTCTGTTACAAAACTTATTTTCTGCCACTGTTCCATTCTGCATGTAGTAAGACAAGAAAACGTTGAGGGCTGAGTTTGGCATAAGTGTAAATCTACATGAAGAGGAAAACTGGTAGAGAAAATATTGCAGATCTTCACGTCTAACATCTGAATGCTTATTAGATCTAATAAAAAGAGAAGCTGTGCTCAGAAAAGCAAAGTAAAAAGTAACAAACTTCTGCTCCGTTTAAAGAATGGGAAGAATTTTTTTACATGTCAAAGCAGGTACAGTATGTCATGGCAGATACTTAAGTAGTGAATTTATACGAAACAATGATGTGAAGGGGGGAAATAGCTTGATTATTGCTGCACTGAAAACAATGCAGGTGCCAAAACCAGGTGGTTTCAACCACAAATGTAGAGAAGAGCTGGTTTCCCGATAGTGTACTTGTTTAACAGCTGTGTTTTCAGTATCAGAAATACCTAAGGAGAAGGCTTTTAAAAGTCAAGCTGTGCAAGTTGATTTTCTTGTTGTCAGCTGAGAATGGGAAGAAGGGAAAATGAGTCTTGGGGATAAGTGCTGTATTTCATAAGTGCCTTTCTGTTTTCATTCTTAAGGTAATCTAAATGAGCTAGTTAAACATGGACTGCGTGCCCTGAGAGAGACACTTCCTGCTGAACAGGATCTGACCACCAAGGTAAATGCCAGGTTTTCTTAATGAGAAATTTCACTGCTATTGTTCTCAGTAATGACAGCGACAAAACTGATGTAAAGTATGGCTGGCACTGAAACTTGGAAGCCAAAAACTTTCTAGATAGTATCATCTTCATTTCATTTGTTGCCGATTTACGTGCTGCTTCCTTTATTATCTGAGATTTAGTTTTCTTTATGGAAGTGATGCTTTATTTAGATAAGATACTGTTTCCCTAGCTGCTTCATTATATTTTAAACTTGAATCAGTGTTTAAGGTGCTTTTTGTACAACTGGAATTATCAGCTTTGCATTGTAAGCACAGTCACTAATTGACTGGGGTGGTAAGAGAATGTAATACACAAACTGAGTATTCAGCATCACAGAGTTACAGAAGCCTTAGACAGGAAATGAAATGAGCAGCTGTTGAGCAAGAAGCTTCTAAGCAGCTCTGTTACCATATTCTAGTGTTCTCTTTGTGGCTGGCCTTGCCCTCATCTATGCTTAATCTAAATTTTTTGTTCTTAGCCTGCCTTTCTGTTTTCTAGAACTCTTACAATAACAGCAGTGCAAAGTAAGATGAAAATCAGTTTTGAGAAGTCAGGTATTTGTTACTAAAAAGAAAAGGGGGGAGAAGAAAGGAGGAAAAAAAAAAAGTAAGAATCCTTGAATAATGGTTTTCCTGTTAAGATGTTTGAAATGCCCTACCTTTTGTAGGGAATAAATGTCCCTCCCTTTCCTTTTCGAGAACAATCTACTAAAGGAAGACTTCATCAAAATTGCCTTTCTTCCTTAAGCAGACACAAATAGCACAGTGACCCTCTCTGTTACAGTGGGAAGCTTTTTTCTGTTTGACAAGTGAAAGTGATTTTGTGGAAAAATGCTTCTCACTTCTGTCAAAACTTTGCTTAACAGAATGTTTCCATTGGGATTGTTGGCAAAGACATGGAGTTCACAATCTATGACGACGATGATGTAGCACCATTCCTAGAAGGCCTTGAGGAGAGACCGCAGAGAAAGGTGTGTGCTAAATGGAAGTAGGCTTTATTGAGAGACAGCACTGTATGATGTCTTATTTTTATGTTTGACGTTTAATTCTGCTAGTAGACTATAATTTTAGGAATGTGATTTTTTTTTTTTTTAAAGCTAGAAGTTACTACATGAGAACTGGATACACCACGTACCCTTAGCTGGAGACTGGTGTGCTTATTTAAGTCAGTTGAGGCTGAATTGGTGGCAGGCCCTTCCTGCTATCTGTCATGGTGTTTTGCACTTTGTTTAACAGCTTATTTCTTGTGCATGTGGCGTAGTGCATCCTCAGTCTTCTAACTGACAGCTTTGTCCTTCGTGTTTACTCTGGATAACCCCATAACACATCTTTTCCCTCTCTTTAAGCCTGCTCTGCCTGCTGATGAGCCTGCAGAGAAGGCAGAAGAGCCCATGGAACACTAGTTGGTGGACGGGTTCCTTTCTGCTGCCATACGTGTTGCTGTACCGGAGCGTTTATCCACGGGTGGTAACTTTATCCTCACCTGTATGCCTCTTATGCTGATACGTACTGAGGATTGCTTTTAAAAAAGAAATAAACCAACTCACCTATCCTTAAGGAGGTCAGCAGTGCTGTGTTTTTTTATGTCGAGGAATGGGTTTTCTTAAAAAGCACAAGATACTGTTTTTTAATGGATGCCTACTGTCTTTAGCCCATAAGGACAAATGGGATTAAATCACGTTTTTGGAACCTACCGTGGCTTTGGGACGGGTGGGGGTGGAAGAAACCGAACTCCCCCGTTTGGCGGGGCGATGACGTCAGAGCCGGAAGGCCCGCCCTCGCAGCTCACGTGACGCGGTCCTCGTGGCTCCCCCTCTTCCCGCCCCCCCCGTCGGCCACGCGGCAGCGCTGTCGGCGGCTCCGCCTCTTTCACGTTCTCCTGCACGGAGGAGGCGTGTCCCGCCTCGGCCGCCGTTGCGTCGAGCTGTCTGGGAGGGAGCGGCTCCACGTCAGCCATCGCCGGAGCGCCGCGGGCAGAGCCGAGCGGGCCGGGCCCCGACCCACCGCGTCCGATCCGAGCGGGCCGCTCCGAGCAGCACCGCCGCCTCACGGTGCGCAGCTCCGCGCCGGGACGCCTCGCGGGGGGAAACCTCTTCACCGCCGTACCTGGGGCGGGGAACGGGAGCGGGGGGGCAGAGCGGGGCCGCCGCCGGCCTCCTCCTGGCCGTGGCCCGGCGGGGCTGCCGCAGCTGCGCGGGGCGTCGGGCTGAGGGAGAGATCTGTGGGCCGGACTGAAAGTACCGAGTGCCGCGAGGCAAAATGGTGCCCGGGGGCTCGCGGCTGTGGGGCAGCCGGCCGGCGGGGCGCTTCGTCCTGCGTGAGCTCAGAGCGCGTTACGGAGAGTTGTTGTGCCGTGGGTCTGAGGAGTTTCTGCAGTCAGGGCTGTGTGCCAGCTGCCTTTTGGGCAGGCCTGCTGCGCTTCCTCGCGGAGCTGAACGCTGGCTGCACAGCTTTGAGCTCTTTTCTCTCCCCCACTCTCTTGCCCAGAAGCTGTTGCCAAGAAAACGGCTCTTTGTTTCCCTTTTCTTTCCTGCAAACGATCAACTTGAAGAATCGAAGCCGTAGAAATACAGGAATTTCATAACAAAAAGTAACCGGTGTTTTATTGCCATTTTTCTTTCAACTGTCTTTTCCGGTACTGCTTATATTTTGCTGTTTTCTATGTAGAAGGAGGACACAGCCCAAAACAGCACGACTTCCTGCTAGGTGCCCATTTGACTGAAAAAAAAAGGGACTTTGGATCCATAGACATTTTCATTCATTCATTCCAATGCCACAGCTGCTCTCTTTCCTCTGTTGTCAGTCAGAGCTCTGTGTGAAGCAGTGCTTCTTCCCAGGCTCACCGAGCTGAAAATGAATGTTTGCTGTTTGAATGCTGTTTGCTCAAATGACTGCTTCAAAAATAAAGTGGGAGTGGAGGGTTTGCAGAGTTTGCATCTCAGAAGTTGTGTCAGCAGAGGTGTGGAGGTGAGGTGAGATCAGAACTGGTGACCCCAGACAGTGACTTTTTCACTTGGCATGTCACTGCCTGCTGTCTTGGAAGTGTGGTGATGGAACATTAAACAGGTGTGTGATTTTGCACTGTGTATTAACAGACTGATGCATAGTGCCATGTTTTAAAGAAGCATCTTCTTTCAAAGATTTGCTAAGCTGTGTGTAAGACTTCAAGAAAATTAATTGCAGTGAGAGCACAGTCATTATTCTGCACACGTTTAGAAAATGCAGCTTTGGACATGTAATAGAAAGTAACAATTTGCCGTGATCATCAGTGTGGTATCATAGCACTAACTGAGCAAATTGAAACTGAAACGTTTTTCCATTAAGAAACAAAATAGTAAATTTGGTTTGATCCTAGGCATCAATTACGTTAGGAAGAAACAAACAGAAAAATGAGGATTTACCTTTTTTTTTTTTTTTTTTTTTAAATCTGAATTGCAGCTTTGATGGGTCTGTAACCCTCAGGTAGTTTTTTGCTCTGTATGAATACTGACTTTCCTCATCAGTCTATAGGAGCAGTTAAAGAATAGAGTTCAACAGGTCTGGTTGTTCTTGGTATGTAAAAGTGTCGTCTTGCTTTCCTATCCATCTCACTTTTTTCTGTTCTGCCATCCTCGGTTTCCACTCTTAGATCTTTTGCCCATTGTCATAGCTTCCTCGTTGGCTGATTCAGCTTGTTAAATTGGAAGAAAACTCTTCCTTTCCCCTTTTCTTTAACTTTCAGTTGGCTTTGCACTGGGTCAGTTCACCTGGAGATGCACAAGAGTACCAGGAAGATAGTGAATATAGTAGGGATCAGAGGGATGACTAGGCAAGGGAAAAGCTGCTGCATCCTTTCAGTGGCAGCCAAATATCTGTGTACTGCCATCATCTGTAGCCATACCCTGACGTATTGGAAAGATTTTTTGTTTCTGGTTTGTTTTTTCCTTTGGGAAATATCATGCTCTTGGGTGTTTTTTGTTTTTTTTTTTTTGTAAAATGGAAAGGTATTTCAAATGTGGCTTCTCAAGAAATCCAAGATTCTACAAATCATTAAGTCAGCTGGAAAATCATATTTATGTTATTAGTAAAATCTATTAACTCTGGGTTGGCTTTATTTGCTTGTTCTTTTAGGTTATCTGATACTTGTGTCAAAATAAATCATCCCCTGAGAAAACATTTGTAACCAGGAGCCATGACTGCTGCTGAGAATGTGTGCTACACGTTAATCAATGTCCCAATGGACTCGGAACCACCTTCTGAAATCAGCTTAAAAAATGACCTAGGCAAGTAACGGACCCTGATGAGAAGAATCATCCATCATTATTCTCACATTGTGCCCTTACACTTTCACTACAATATTGTTTGCATTTCATAAACTCAGGCAAATGAGTGTTTATTTTGTTATGTTGATGTTTGAAATGTGTAAATTCTTCTGCTTGCTGCTTGAGAAGCTTGTGATATTTATCTTATGTGACTTTTTGTCCAAATTCTGAGCAGAACTTTTACATCACCTTCAGTCTTTGTGCAAAGCAATACGTGTTGAGGTCTGAGCAGGCTTAGTTAATGAGAATCATATCACTTACTGTTCTGTGCACAGCTGTATCTTTCTTGCCAAAGTGGCATTCTCAGTATTTAGTATAACACCACAGTGCATCATAGCATCCTTGTGTATAAGATGGTTTAAAGCAGTGAAACAGCAATGCAGTGATTGTAACATTACAGTGCATTGGAGTATTCTGATTTGAAATGCTGTTTGAAAGCACTGGAGCAGCGCTGCAATCTGTTGAATTCATTTAATTTCAATACATTGATCCCAAAAATAAGTTTAAACTCCAGGCTTATTCTTTAAATACCTCTTGCTTCCTCTTTATGCTCTTAAAAGTGAGGGTGTGGATTTTACTGAGATGTTAAATTGTACTCCTTCAAGGAGAAGTTGTATCTTCTGACCAGAAAACTGCTGTTCCTACTGAACTATGTATGTTAGCCTTCCTAGGCATACAATTACCGTGATTTGCTTTCTTGAATTTTCTTTTCTATCCACTCTAGAAAAAGGAGATGTCAAGTTGAAGACAGAGGCCTTGAAGAAAGTGATTATTATGATTCTGAATGGTGAAAAACTACCTGGGCTTCTGATGACCATTATACGTTTTGTGCTGCCTCTCCAAGATCATACCATCAAAAAGCTGCTGCTTGTTTTCTGGGAGATAGTGCCAAAGACCACTCCAGATGGCAGGCTTCTGCAGGAAATGATCCTTGTCTGTGATGCATATAGGAAGGTAGCTTCTTGTTTATTTTACTATCTATGTTTACATACTGTGTACTTTCTGTTATCTAAAATATATGAAAGTGTCTTATGCTCTTCATTTCCTTGCAAACCATTTTGTCATAATGCTTGATAGCTGGCTGAATTGTAGGTAACCAGCAAACCAACTACTAAGGAATCTTTACGTTTCCTGTTACAATTAAACATTTAGTGCTCAATCTTTCTAAGTCAGAGAACCTCAAAGATGAGGAGTGACCTCATTACCACTTCCATGGTGTCCTTGGACACGCAGTGGGTTATAAGTAAGAGTAGATGCTGTATTTGGCATATCTTCATTGCAGTGTATTTGGGGTGCTCCTTCACAAAGATAATCCTTCAGTTTCTGTGGGAATAGACTGCAAGCAGATAACTAGCATGCAGAAGAGTCTTGTTAGTAGCCACTGTGCTGGAATGCCTGCAGGCTGAACTTTAACAGCCTTCAGAGTCTCATACAATACATGCAAGTGCAGCAGAAAAAACTTAGGACTTGCAAGTTTGATTACACAGAAATGCTTGTTTTAAATTTCATGGGACTTCAGTGTTTTAAGAAGATTCTTTTAATGAAAAGATAAAGAAGTATCCTCTTAGACTTTTGGAATTTACTCTCTCAAAAAACTGAACTTGGGAAGAGGCTAGCAAGTGCGTTCACCTGAGCCTTTGCAGTTAAACTGTGGTATCTGACATTTCCAATATGCTTCTTGTTGATTGTAGGATCTTCAGCATCCAAATGAGTTTATCCGAGGCTCTACTCTTCGTTTTCTTTGTAAGCTGAAAGAAGCAGAACTGCTGGAGCCTCTGATGCCAGCCATCCGTGCATGCCTAGAGCATCGTCACAGCTATGTGCGCAGAAATGCAGTCCTTGCAATTTACACCATTTATAGGTAAATGCCAGAATCTGTTTAAAGTGCAGAAGACCAAGGCTGTATTAGGAAGGCTATGTTTGGTGGCATGGGTGGCTTGGGAGACCTCATAAATACGTATTTACGTATGTATTTATTATTATTATTAATTTCTGGAAGCAGGGAGAAAGAGAAGGTTGGTGTGAGGTGTTTTTTTTTGTTTGCTTTTTCCTCTGTAAAGAACTTTTTTGGAAAAGTGGAAGGTACTGCTCTTGCTTTTGCAGCTGTCACTGAGATCCTTATATTGCAGGTTAATTTGTAAGGACAAATCCTTTTCTTAGTTATCTAAACCTCATGCACAGTAATTGTTGTCCACCAGTATAAACAAAGAAGAATCTTTACAGGAGTATAAGCATATACATTTATTTGAAGTAAGA